CTCGAGATAATTCCTAGAATTTTGTGGGGAGTCAATATGCGGGACTGTCAGAATGAAAAACATTTATCTTTAGACTGAGGTTGTGACGTCACATCTGCACCCTGACCCTATCTGGAGAAGGTGTTGGCTAAGTCATCTAGGTATTTCTCTCTCTGCCTTCCCCTTGCTCTTTGAGTTCACATGTTTCCGGTGTATTACATATCAGTACTCTAACATATCGTCTTTCCGGTGTATTACATAATCAGTAATATAATATATCGTCTTTCCAGTGTATTACAAACTCAGTAATATAATATCTCTTGTTTTCAGTCTATTATGTAATCAGTACTATAATCTCTCCTGTCTCCGGTGTATTACCTAATCAGTACATAACAGTATCCATATAATCAACTGCAATTTAGTGAGTGAACTTTATACCAGCAAATTGTCCACCCAGTATATTCACGATATTCTTCTTGTCCACCCAGTATATTCACGATATTATCCTTGTCCACCCAGTATATTCGCGATATTATCCTTGTCCACCCAGTATATTTGCAATATTATCCTTGTCCACCCAGTATATTCACAATATTATCCTTGTCCACCCAGTATATTTGCAATATTATCCTTGTCCACCCAGTATATTCGCAATATTATCCTTGTCCACCCAGTATATTCGCAATATTATCCTTGTCCACCCAGTATATTCGCGATATTATCCTTGTCCACCCAGTATATTTGCAATATTATCCTTGTCCACCCAGTATATTCGCGATATTATCCTTGTCCACCCAGTATATTTGCAATATTATCCTTGTCCACCCAGTATATTCGCGATATTATCCTTGTCCACCCAGTATATTTGCAATATTATCCTTGTCCACCCAGTATATTCGCGATATTATCCTTGTCCACCCAGTATATTCGCAATATTATCCTTGTCCACCAAGTATATTCGCAATATTATCCTTGTCCACCCAGTATATTCACAATATTATCCTTGTCCACCCAGTATATTCGCGATATTATCCTTGTCCACCCAGTATATTCACAATATTATCCTTGTCCACCCAGTATATTCGCGATATTATCCTTGTCCACCCAGTATATTCGCAATATTATCCTTGTCCACCCAGTATATTCACAATATTATCCTTGTCCACCCAGTATATTCACAATATTATCCTTGTCCACCCAGTATATTCGCAATATTATCCTCGTCTACGCAGGATATTCGCAGCATTCTTCTTGTCCACCTAGTTAGTATATTAGCAATTTTCCATTTATCCACCCAGTATGTTAGCAATATGCTTCTTGTCTACACAGTATGTAAGCAATATTATCCTAAAGAATCCTATAAGTATCTAAAGTAGGATATGGCTTGCAGATATGGGATATTCTGGAATTTGCACCGACAAATGAATACCCCCCAAAAAAGTACCAGTCGTCAAATGTCAGATATTCAGGATTCGGGAGGTCAAATATTAACAAGTGACAAGAAGAAAGGGCAAGAAAGAGTTTTTTTTAGGCGGTATGTAATCCAGAGTGGTAGAGGAGATAGGACAGATCCGCGCAACCCTCTATAGAGAATCTTTAGCATAGCACTGTCATCGACAACGATTATGAAGACCTGGTAGCTGAAATCGACATACATGTGTTAGTGATGTTTACGGCCTCCACAGCCAACCGCCCTTTTTGTCTGGGCGGGTCGAAAAACGAATGGAATGTCAGACCAGCAAGCACTAGAATAACGTAGCAACTACTGATATAAGCGGCGTGGCGATTGCCCTTGTCTGCAGCATGGTGTCTGCATTAAAAGATATATATAACTGGGGGAAAAGATCACGTTTTGTATTGCGCCCTTTTTTTCTGTCTAAACCGTGATCATGTTGGCCAACAGTATTGACCAGCCACGCCGTCGATCAAACTATGATTGCCGTCTTTGAAGACAGGCAGCTCGTCAAAGTATGAAAAACGCTCGGCCATAGGCGGGCCTGTAATTGCCTATATACCTTGAAATGATTGCTGTCCTGTCGCTCAAGGATTTCTAGAATGCAGTTCTGGGTATGAAAAACACTCGGCCATGGGTGGGTGTGTTAACTCCTATACACCCGGAACCACGGTTTATTTATGTTTGTGGCGTTCCCCAGCCCGATATGCCCCACTTTGTCGTTTGGGCTGGCTTAGGGCTCGGGTTCCATTGAGTTACTCGTGGAATCCGAACCCCACTAAGCGGGCACTCCATTTGAATACTTATTTTTTTTTTTTTTTTTTAAATGAAATAATTTTTTTAAACTTTAAGAAAAGTTACATCTCCAAAATTATCAACAGTAATTACTAACAACATTCTTTTGGCATAGGATTGAGACTCATTACCAGCACTGAATTGTGAGAGTAGCCGTCCATGTCGCTACTGGGAATGTAAGAATTGGGAGAGTAGCCGTCCATGTCGCTGCTGGGAATGTAAGAATTGGGAGAGTAGCCGTCCATGTCGCTGCTGGGAATGTAAGAATTGGGAGAGTAACCGTCCATGTCGTTGCTGGGAATGTAAGAACTGGGAGAGTAGCCGTCCATGTCGTTGCTGGAAATATAAGAACTGGGAGAGTAGCCGGCAATGTCGTTGTTGGGAATGTAAGAATTGGGAGAGTAGCCGTCCATGTCGTTGCTGGGAATATAAGAATTGGGAGAGTAGCCGTCCATGTCGTTGCTGGGAATATAAGAATTGGGAGAGTAGCCGTCCATGTCGTTGCTGGGAATATAAGAATTGGGAGAGTAGCCTTCCATGTCGTTGCTGGGAATATAAGAATTGGGAGAGTAGCCTTCCATGTCGTTGCTGGGAATGTAAGAATTGGGAGAGTAGCCTTCCATGTCGTTGCTGGAAATATAAGAATTGGGAGAGTAGCCGTCAATGTCGTTGCTGTGAATATAAGAATTGGGAGAGTAGCCGGCAATGTCGTTGCTGGGAATGTAAGAGATGGGAGAGTAGCCGTCCATGTCGCTGCTGGGAATGTAAGAATTGGTAGCACGCAAAAAATTGCACAGCCAGGCACAAGAAGCATATATACGTTTTCCATCCAACAAGAGACTGGCATAGTTAACTGAGGAGATTGCTGCATTTTTTAAGCGGAGCAGCTCCCGACGTGTCTCATCATTACAGGAAAAATATAATCATCACCAGGCGCCTTGTCGACTGGCGTGGGCGATCATGCATCTCCACAATCCGCGATCTTCTGAGCATGTATCAGTTCGTGAGCTGACACACCTCCATGCCATGCAACAAGACTGTCGATAGTAGTAGTAGTAGATTTTTACCCCATTAGGACATCACACAAGCGATAAACACCCGATGACACAAAGTGCCACCATGTGGATGAGGATCACCGTGGAGAGGTCATAGAAACCGCGTTTAGCCATTAGACCATATTTATGGTCGGGCTATTTTGCGGCCCCTGGCAAGAGCCAGAGTAGGGCTTCAAATAACGAAAAATTGCACCCCACAAGGTGATGAATGGATTAGGTGTAGTCTGTCGATAATCTTCTCTCGTTATCTTAAAACCCGAACAAAAAGTACATGAGCGAGCTTCACAATATAACAAACACGAACAAAACGTGAACGTTGTGGCTATGGAGTCTTTATCAGCACATAAACAAATTAGACAAAACTACACAAATACACAATATCACTTATCTTTCTATCTCCATGTCTAGCCAATAGATTGGCGGGACACGTGGGAACGGGAAAATAAACATCCTGGGGAAAACCAGGAGCCGTGACTCGAGAATAAGATGAAACTGTGCAGGCAGTTCAGTCCCCTAGAATTCTATATGAAGTGGTGTTGACAGTTTAGTCCACTGGGCGCCAGAATCCCCAAAGTGTATATAAAGTGATTTTCAAGAGACTTGCGAACTCTGTCGCTGGAGTGGCTAGATTTAATAGCTGTCCTCCATGTCGTGGACACCTTGGTGGTCCTGGGAATTGAAATGCAGTGGTGCTGGTTTCAGGGCACCGTTCTGCACATCCAAAAGATGTTGTCTGAACCGGCCAGCCAGTCGTTAATCCGTTTTACCAATGTATTTAACGGCACATCATTAATAATGCTCATTTCTCAAACCCACATCCTCTGTTGGTATTCCCCATGGGTGCCTTTTATCAATTCCTTGTAGTTTTATTCAGTGGTAAGGCATACAGCCTTTACCACAAAACTATTTATTTATTCTTTTTACACTTTATTCTGAACAGCATTCTTATCATTTTTGATTTAGTTTCACCCCTCCAGATTTGCATTATGCAGAATCAACATCTCAAGGATGAGAATCAAACAGTTTAACTCTCGGAAACCTCGTTCTACCGAACATTCTTGTCAGAACGATATCCCTACTGACAACGGTGGGGTATAGGAAACTTATTTTTTGTAACCTAGCTGGTGAGTTGAGTGCAAGCATGAATCGGTGGTTTCAATCAATGATTAGTTTTCAAAGGAATCCCGCTAACGTCATATATCGGCCATAGTAGACAACTGGCGGGTGCAGGCTATATATAATGCTCCGGCCAACGCCTTCTCTAAAAGTAGGTCGCACTCGGGCCAACAGCGGTGTCGTTCCAGTGTTCCGGAGTTCGCGGACAGCATTTTGTGTCTTCTTTCACGAACAGCAGCTGTCGTATTTATTGTTAAGGTAACGGTTATTTCCCTTTTCATTTCCTTAGTCTTTAGCTGCTACTTGTGACCCTGTGGTGCTGTTGCTACTGCGGCTGTTGCTACTGCTGTTTTTGCTACTTCTGCTAATAATAAGAATACTAAAAATATTTCTGCTGTTGTGACTACAACGATTTCTGCTTTTACTAGTTACTCAGCAGCTGTCACTGTTGCTGCTACTAAAACTGCTGCTGCTGCTGTCACTGCCGCCGCTCTGACTACAGCTGCTGCTTCTACTACTACTTTTACTATTATTACTGGAAAAAAAACCAGTTATTTTGTTGATTACATCTATGGGCAGATACCACCCAGCTGACCAGCATCATGGCTCCCAAGTACAAACTGTACTACTTCAACGTCCGTGGTCGCGGCGAGCTGATTCGTCTGCTGTTTCACGCAGCCGGCGTCCAGTTCGAAGACCACCGAGTGGAGTTCACCGATTGGCCTGCACTGAAGCCAAGTAAGTCTTCCTACACAATCGTTCACATACTCATAATCTTTCTTCGACCGCCCTTTATGTTACAGTCCTGCGTCATTATTCTGTAAATTGTGTTGAGCTGAGTTTCAAGAACCGCTATCACAGTACTCCCACAAGTGCCCTGTCCCCATCTTCAACAGCCAGCGAAGAGTCCCAACGCCCATGGTACCAGCAGCTGTCGATTGAATGTCATTTATGGTTTACACTGACCTGGTGTCCCCAGTTTAAACTGAGCACCAGGATGTGTCATGGGAAGTAAAGACGGTCATCGTAAGTAAAACTGGCAGCAGGCGAATGACTTCTGCTGTGTTCAGCGAATTTGAGCTCCAATGGCAAGTCCCGATTATTAGCTCACGTCTGGACCTGGGGCTTATTCTACTTCTTGAGTATTGAGCGCATATCCGTTTTACAACTCTAGCTTATTTGTCTGCAGTCTGCTGGTTCCCTGCCTCTCAGGCAGGGGCGATCTATCTTCGAAGGAAATCTGGTTGATATACAAAAATATGAAACTGTCCCTATCAACCTAGTTGATATACAAAAATATGAAACTGTCCCTATCAACCTAGTTGATATACAAAAATATGAAACTGTCCCTATCAACCTAGTTGATATACAAAAATATGAAACTGTCCCTATCAACCTAGTTGATATTCAAAAATATGAAACTGTCCCTATCAACCTAGTTGATATACAAAAATATGAAACTGTCCCTATCAACCTAGTTGATATACAAAAATATGAAACTGTCCCTATCAACCTAGTTGATATACAAAAATATGAAACTGCCCCTATCAACCTGGTTTGCCTCGTGACGATAAAAAACGGTCTTGATCTATATTTTGCTTTACCACACTGGAGTGTGCAGTCTGTAGCATTAGTATTTCCATTAGGTTTTGTTCCACTCTGAAGTGTGCAGTCTGTAGCTTTAGTATTTCCATTAGGTTTTGTTCCACTCTGAAGTGTGCAGTCTGTAGCTTTAGTATTTCCATTAGGTTTTGTTCCACTCTGGAGTATACAGACATTGTAACTTTAATGTCTTTATTAGTTTTGGGGGGTTTTCAATACAGATATTGTAACTTCAACGTCTGTATTAGTTTTTGGGGTTTCCACTCTGGAGTATACAGACATTGTAACTTTAATGTCTTTATTAGTTTTGGGGGGTTTTCAATACAGATATTGTAACTTCAACGTCTGTATTAGTTTTTTGGGGTTTCCACTCTGGAGTATACAGACACTGTAACTTCAACGTCTGTATTAGTTTTTTGGGGTTTCCACTCTGGAGTATACAGACACTGTAACTTCAACGTCTGTATTAGTTTTTGAGGTTTCCACTCTGGAGTATACAGACACTGTAACTTCAACGTCTGTATTAGTTTTTGAGGTTTCCACTCTGGAGTATACAGACACTGTAACTTCAACGTCTGTATTAGTTTTTGAGGTTTCCACTCTGGAGTATACAGACACTGTAACTTCAACGTCTGTATTAGTTTTTGGGGTTTCCACTCTGGAGTATACAGACACTGTAACTTCAACGTCTGTATTAGTTTTTGGGGTTTCCACTCTGGAGTAAACAGACACTGTAACTTCAACGTCTGTATTAGTTTTTGGGGTTTCCACTCTGGAGTATACAGACACTGTAACTTCAACGTCTGTATTAGTTTTTGTATATTGTACTGGAATTGTGTGCCTCGTTTAGTCAAAAACGATCCATTTTTGAAAAAATGTCTCTCTCTCTCTCTCTCTCTCTCTCTCTCTCTCTCTCTCTCTCTCTCTCTCTCTCTCTCTATGTATCTCTCTCTCTCTCTCCTCACAACGGCTAGTCGCTTGCTGACAGCGTCGCACAAAGCACAAACTCCGAAGCTCTGATGACGGTCTATATTGATCTCCGGTAAATTGCACCTGTGAACGAAATGACGCAGTTGTGTGGATTTCGAGCTGTACGATAGAAAGACCCATGAAGACATCTTTATTAGGGGTGCCTAGTTGGTCATGTGTCTTAGTACCTTTGTTTTCATAGCGAGGCACACATGCACTTTGGTTCGATTCCTGGCATGATAGCTATAGCTTTTGATATGTATGTTGCCTAGTGTGTCCTTCTATCTTTCTATTTCTTTCTAAAAGTGCCGATCAATATATTGTATGTTATATATGTAATGTTTCCACAGTATTTCCATTAGGTTTTGTTCCACTCTGAAGTGTGCAGTCTGTAGCTTTAGTATTTCCATTAGGTTTTGTTCCACTCTGAAGTGTGCAGTCTGTAGCTTTAGTATTTCCATTAGGTTTTGTTCCACTCTGGAGTATACAGACATTGTAACTTTAATGTCTTTATTAGTTTTGGGGGGTTTTCAATACAGATATTGTAACTTCAACGTCTGTATTAGTTTTTGGGGTTTCCACTCTGGAGTATACAGACATTGTAACTTTAATGTCTTTATTAGTTTTGGGGGGTTTTCAATACAGATATTGTAACTTCAACGTCTGTATTAGTTTTTGGGGTTTCCACTCTGGAGTATACAGACACTGTAACTTCAACGTCTGTATTAGTTTTTGGGGTTTCCACTCTGGAGTATACAGACACTGTAACTTCAACGTCTGTATTAGTTTTTGAGGTTTCCACTCTGGAGTATACAGACACTGTAACTTCAACGTCTGTATTAGTTTTTGGGGTTTCCACTCTGGAGTATACAGACACTGTAACTTCAACGTCTGTATTAGTTTTGAGGTTTCCACTCTGGAGTATACAGACACTGTAACTTCAAACGTCTGTATTAGTTTTTGGGGGTTTCCACTCTGGAGTATACAGACACTGTAACTTCAACGTCTGTATTAGTTTTTGGGGTTTCCACTCTGGAGTAAACAGACACTGTAACTTCAACGTCTGTATTAGTTTTTGGGGTTTCCACTCTGGAGTATACAGACACTGTAACTTCAACGTCTGTATTAGTTTTTGTATATTGTACTGGAATTGTGTGCCTCGTTTAGTCAAAAACGATCCATTTTTGAAAAAATGTCTCTCTCTCTCTCTCTCTCTCTCTCTCTCTCTCTCTCTCTCTCTCTCTCTCTCTCTCTCTCTCTATGTATCTCTCTCTCTCTCCTCACAACGGCTAGTCGCTTGCTGACAGCGTCGCACAAAGCACAAACTCCGAAGCTCTGATGACGGTCTATATTGATCTCCGGTAAATTGCACCTGTGAACGAAATGACGCAGTTGTGTGGATTTCGAGCTGTACGATAGAAAGACCCATGAAGACATCTTTATTAGGGGTGCCTAGTTGGTCATGTGTCTTAGTACCTTTGTTTTCATAGCGAGGCACACATGCACTTTGGTTCGATTCCTGGCATGATAGCTATAGCTTTTGATATGTATGTTGCCTAGTGTGTCCTTCTATCTTTCTACTTCTTTCTAAAAGTGCCGATCAATATATTGTATGTTATATATGTAATGTTTCCACAGCCTGAAGGGTCCCCCCCCCCCCCCCCTATGTTTATTGATGTGTATGGAGTCCACACAAATCACATTCTAGAATCACATGACAGATCCGCCGCTTACATGAAAAGGGTTCCTTCACTTACTTGACGTCTGCTATGGTCTATTTACCAGGCCGGTGTGACTCCTTTAACAGCGCAGACATTCACAACAATGCTGTGTCATGCTTGTGTATTGATTCTGCTGGTCAACAAATACTAGCCGACTTAAAGTTGCAACTGTATTGGTCCGCACTACAGTTTTAAAAAAAAAGACAACAGACACCAGTGAAAAATATGGATAGCGAAGTGAATTATTGCATAACAAGATAACGGTAACGATCAAGAGGTGGTCAAACAAACCCACAGAGAATAGGATTGGAAACATCTAAATAAACTGGGAGGTTGTGTGAGCAGCAGAAAATGTCCACACACAAAAAAAGCTTGGTATACATTAGTTATTAACCTATTCTCCAGTGTGGAAGACAGGAAATAGGAAAAAGAGGAAGAAAAATCGTGATGACCAAGTGAGTTTGAAAATGTTTTGTTATGTTTTGTTGTTAGACACACCTGAAGGAACGCTGCCATACTTGTGCATTGACGATAAAGAGTTTGGCGAGAGTCTGCCCTTATCTCGCTACGTTGCCAGAAAATACAGTGAGTGTTTTCCAGTTTCCTTCTCTTTTCTAAAAACATGCCACGAAATAGTCATAGCATTACCGTGTTTAAGGGATTAAGAATCTATGTTCTCCTTTGTTTGTGAATTGATTGTGCACATCTCAAATCTAGTACCACTAGAAGGTCTTGCGCCTATCGAAGAGATGGTCCTTTAGCGAAGATCCTCGATTATCATTTAGCAAGGTACAATCTGCCCGGGGATTGTGTGGTAGAGCTCGCCATTCCTTCTTCAAGCCTAGAAACCAGATCTTGATTCAGCATTGAACATCGGCTGCGATTTTGACAATTTTGGTCCAGTCACTGTGGGCTATGGTGACGTTGTTGCTGATAGGAGTGACCGAGTCACTGTGGGCTGTGTTGACGTTGTTGCTGATGGGAGTGACCGAGTCACTGTGGGCTGTGGTGACGTTGTTGCTGATGGGAGTGACCGAGTCACTGTGGGCTGTGGTGACGTTGTTGCTGATGGGAGTGACCGAGTCACTGTGGGCTGTGGTGACATTGTTGCTAGTGGGAGTGGCCGAGTGATTGTGGGCTGTGTTGACGTTGTTGCTGATGGGAGTGACCGAGTCACTGTGGGCTGTGGTGACGTTGTTGCTGATGGGAGTGACCGAGTCACTGTGGGCTGTGGTGACGTTGTTGCTGATGGGAGTGACCGAGTCACTGTGGGCTGTGGTGACATTGTTGCTAGTGGGAGTGGCCGAGTGATTGTGGGCTGTGTTGACGTTGTTGCTGATGGGAGTGACCGAGTCACTGTGGGCTGTGGTGACGTTGTTGCTGATGGGAGTGACCGAGTCACTGTGGGCTGTGGTGACGTTGTTGCTAGTGGGAGTGGCCGAGTGATTGTGGGCTGTGTTGACGTTGTTGCTGATGGGAGTGACCGAGTCACTGTGGGCTGTGGTGACGTTGTTGCTGATGGGAGTGACCGAGTCACTGTGGGCTGTGGTGACATTGTTGCTGATGGGAGTGACCGAGTCACTGTGGGCTGTGGTGACGTTGTTGATGATGGGAGTGACCGAGTCACTGTGGGCTGTGGTGACGTTGTTGCTGATGGGAGTGACCGAGTCACTGTGGGATGTGGTGACGTTGTTGCTAGTGGGAGTGACCGAGTCACTGTGGGCTGTGGTGACGTTATTGCTAGTTGGAGTGACAGAATCACTGTGGGCTGTAGTGATGTTGTTGCTGGTGGGGTGACCCAGTGATTGTGGGCTGTGGTGACGTTGTTGCTTGTGGGACATCAACAGCAACCACAGACCCACTTTCACGTGCCACAGATGGTATTACATCTCTCGACTATTCCCAGTAATGTTATGTAATGTTACACAGTCGACGGCATTGCCCATAGGGCATTCCTATGAGTGGGCTGTATTGACGCAGCGGCCACTCCAAGGTACCCCTACTGACTGTTCCCACGAGTAGTTGGTTATAGTGCCTCCTATCTTGATCTCGCATTGACTTGCTTCACCAATGATTTAATCATCTACTGTAGGTTTTGGCAGTTGTTGTTTTTTTTTAAATCCAGATAATCCGGCCACATTGCCAGAGGCATTGTTTCTGTATCTGGGCCTACTCCGGCAGCATAGGGGTGTTTGTCATCCCATAACCACACAGGCCGGCAGAGAACACCAGGCTGGTGTTGCTGTTACAGATGCCCTTATAATAGCTTCTCTCTGGGTTGAACATGGTATCTGAGATTTGCCCCGAGATCTGCTATCAAGACTGAGATATTTTGCAATCTCAATCTGGTCATCGACTGTCAGGTAACCGCCCAGAAGGGAGAAACGGAAGGAAACAAGAAGGAATAACAGCCGCGGTTTCTTCACATCGGCACTCCATCGGGTGACTAATGCTTAAATCGGATGTGTTTAGTCGAACAGCGCTGATATCGCAGCCTAATTGTATATCACATTACAACGCGCCAACTGTCTTTGTAAAGTAAAGTACAGACGAAGACGTAACATATGTGTAGCTATAATGTTGGAAAGCCACGTCTAAATGATACAAAATGTCGATTTGCTGTCACCCAGATCTGGCGGGAAAGACCGACATTGATCAACTGCAAGCAGACATCATTCTCAATCACGTCGATGAGATCCGGGGAATCGTCAGCAGAGCCCGCAATGATAAAATATACACCGAAGAGCAAAAGGTACGAGTGTTCTGCGTGGTTTAGTTTTGCAGTTATGTTTACTGGTAATATTAGTTATTATTATCTGAATTGAGAATCGACATCGTAGCACACCGAATATACACTCAGATGTTCAGTCTTCCACCGCAGATGTCTTGGATGTATGGATGGATGGGTGGATGGATGCATGGTTGCAAGGGTGAGTGGGGGTGTTTGAATCCGCCATCTGTTTGTCATCTCCCTCCAGCTGCGTTGCCAGGAAACGAAACTTGTGAAACAGTTTGCTTACATGGCTGTCCGACATTGCACGTAATGTTGACGCTGTTTGTCCATCATCTCCCCTGTTTCCCTCTCTTTCTGCAAGTCCCCAAGGTACCCGTGCAGGGAAAAAGTATCAGTGCAGGGAAAAAGTATCAGTGCAGGGAAAAAAATACATGTGCAGAGGATTAAGTACCCGTGCAGGGGAAAAGTACCAAAGCAGGGAAAAATACCCCTGCAGGGGAATAAGTACCCGTGCAGGAAAAAGGTGTGCAGGGAAAAAATACCCGTGCATAGGGAAAAGTAACCGTACAGAGAAAAAGTACCCGTGCAGGGAAAAAGTACCCGTGCAGGGAAACCAGTGTCTGCTTAGACAAAAGTGCGCCATTCAACCTGGCGCTGCAATCAATCAAGGCTGTTTGCTGTTTAGTGAATCAACCGCTTTAAGCCCTCGTACAGTTGGTTTCTGACTGCAAGAACTGGTCTGAGTGCAGTTTTATGTTTGTCTTGTCATTGTTTGAACAGCTCAGCAAATCTAGAGCGATGGTTGTCAATGGCGATAGCCTGTTTGTTCATAACTCAAACGACATTTGGCTGTGCTTCGTTTTCAGTGTGCACTCCGGATTATCTTTTTTTACTTTTGACAGTTATCAGGTTTCCTCTTTCTTTTCCTAAGTCCAGATGTGTCGTTAATATGTTGTGAGCATAGTCATGTAACTGTATAAAGAAGGTAGTGATTTTGGGAGGGGGGGGGGGGGGGTAAACAGCGAGACTGAGAGAAGGAAGGGATGGGAAGTAAACAAGAAGATTGAGAGAAGGAAGGGAGGGGGGAGTAAACAAGGAGATTGACAGAAGGAAGGGAGGGGGAGTAAACAAGGAGATTGAGAGCAGGAAGGAAGGGGGGGAGTAAACAAGGAGATTGAGAGAAGGAAGGGAGGGGGAGTAAACAAGGAGATTGAGAGAAGGAAGGGAGGGGGGAGTAAACAAGGAGATTGAGAGAAGGAAGGGAGGGGGAGTAAACAAGGATATTGAGAGAAGGAAGGGAGGGGGGAGTAAACAAGAAGATTGAGAGAAGGAAGGGAGGGGAAGTAAACAGCGAGATTGAGAGAAGGAAGGGATGGGGAGTAAACAAGAAGATTGAGAGAAGGAAGGGAGGAGGGGGAGTAAACAAAGAGATTGACAGAATGAAGGGAGGGGAAGTAAACAAGGAGATTGAGAGAAGGAAGGAAGGGGGGAGTAAACAAGGATATTGAGAGAAGGAAGGGAGGGGGAAGTAAACAAGAAGATTGAGAGAAGGAAGGGAGGGGAAGTAAACAGCGAGATTGAGAGAAGGAAGGGATGGGGAGTAAACAAGAAGATTGAGAGAAGGAAGGGAGGAGGGGGAGTAAACAAAGAGATTCACAGAATGAAGGGAGGAGAAGTAAACAAGGAGATTGAGAGAAGGGAGGAAGGGGGAGTAAACAAGGAGATTGAGAGAAGGAAGGGAGGGGAAGTAAACAAGACGATTGAGAGAAGGAAGGGAGGGGAAGTAAACAAGGAGATTGAGAGAAGGGAGGCAGGGGGAGTAAACAAGGAGATTGAGAGAAGGAAGGAGGGATTTTAAATCTTTTTATCGGTCTATAGCAGTGACTCTCAACCTTTATTATGCCACAACCTTTTAATACAATTCCCTCATGTTATGGCGACCCTTTAATACAGTCCCCTTATGCTGTGGTGACCTTTTAATACAGTTCCCTCATGTTTTGGCGACCTTTAATACAATTCCCTCATGTTGTGGCGACCTTTTAATACAGTTCCCTCATGTTGTGGCGACCTTTTAATACAGTTCCCTTATGCTGTGGTGACCTTTTAATACAGTTCCCTCATGTTTTGGCGACCTTTAATACAATTCCCTCATGTTGTGGCGACCTTTTAATACAGTTCCCTCATGTTGTGGCGACCTTTTAATACAGTTCCATCATGTTTTGGCGACCTTTTAATACAGTTCCCGCATGTTGTGGTGACCTTTTAATACAGTTCCATCATGTTATGGTGACCCTTTAATACAGTTCCTTTATGTTGTGGCGACCCTTTAATGCAGTTCCTCATGTTGTGTCGATCCTTTAATACAGTTCCTTTATGTTGTGGCGACCCTTTAATGCAGTTCCTCATGTTGTGTCGATCCTTTAATACAGTTCCTTTATGTTGTGGCGACCCTTTAATGCAGTTCCTCATGTTGTGTCGATCCTTTAATACAGTTCCTTTATGTTGTGGCGACCCTTTAATGCAGTTCCTCGTGTTGTGGCGACCCCTAACCATACAATTATGTTCGTTTCTACTTCATAACTTCAATGAATATGTGTTTTCTAATGGTCTTAGGCGACCTCCGTGAGAGGGTAGGTCGACTCCCCCCCCCCCCCCTTTCCAAAAGGGTCGCGACACACAGGCTGAGAGCCACTGGTCTAGAGTCTAATGAGAGGCGTCCAGCCTGTCTCTCTTTACTTCAAGCATTTACAATTCTAAAATATCTGCCTTATCTCTAGCACAGCCTAACGGTTCTAATGCTGGGTAAACAGCGATCCAATCCATCTTCTAGTGCAGATCACCAAGACAACCCGCCCACAGTGATAAATTCATTCGCCACTCACGTACAAATACGGCGCTAAAATGTTTGTACATGAGTTAAGTGCCATGGTGGCCGGAAGTCTGTGTTGGTAAAATTGTGTTAAACCGTCGAGAACTTTGAACTAACAATTTTGTTTGGTGTCATAAATTTGAAGGTTTCATGTTTTTTTTTAAAACCAGATAACACTAAAATGTACATTTTTTAATTTTAAAATCCTAATTAACACGTCTTTAAAAAACACATACACACACATAAATATATATATATATATCTTCTTTCTTCTTTCTTTTGTCAATATCTGCTTATGTCGCTAGGCGTCGCAGTTCGTCAGAGAATCGGCAGTCGAGCAAGGGCGCGCTCGGTGGCTTCATATACCGTGATGTTATACAGTCTCAAGGTGTCAGAGACTCCTTCAATCCATATTCTTTTCAGTCTTCCCCTGCCTCTTAATGTTTAAATTTTCAGGCTGTACTCTGTTGCGGTTGGCATTGTTGGTTTCATTCTCATTAGATGGCAAAATCACTTAATCCTTAATTTCTTTATAAATTTGACGATGGGTGTTGTTCCAACAGTTCTTGTGATCACTCGATCTCTTCTGATTTTATTCACATCCATTCTCAAACATCTCATCTCACAGGTGGTTAGTTTTCTTTCGTGTTCTTTTGTCAATGTCCAAGTCTGACACTGGTAACCTAAAGCCGGTATAAATATTGTACTTATAATGTGTCTTTTTGTCTCTTTTGGATAGCAGGGTGTTTTAAAATTGGAGCAAGTTCATACATGACATTGTTAGCTAATTGGATTCTCTTTTCTATCTCTCAGTCGATTTTACCATTGTTTATAAAGATGCTTCTCAAGTATTTAAATTCTTGCATTTGTATGGGACATACACGCGATGTCCAGACAATGACAGGCTACAACTTGTATGTGACATACACGTGATGTCCTGACAATGACAGGCTACAACTTGTATGTGACATACACGTGATGTCCTGACAATGACAGGCTACAACTTGTATGTGACATACACGTGATGTCCTGACAATGACAGGCTACTAACTTGTATGTGACATACACACGTGATGTCGTGACAATGACAGGCTACTTGTATGTGACATACACTGTATGTGACATACAACGTGATGTCACTGACAATGACAGGCTACAACTTGTATGTGACATACACGTGATGTCCTGACAATGACAGGCTACTAACTTGTATGTGACATACACGTGATGTCCTGACAATGACAGGCTACAACTTGTATGTGACATACACGTGATGTCCTGACAATGACAGGCTACTAACTTGTATGTGACATACACGTGATGTCCTGACAATGACAGGGCTACTAACTTGTATGTTGACATACACGTGATGTCCTGACAATGACAGGCTACAAGGCTACAAACTACTAACTTGTATGTGACATACACGTGATGTCCTGACAATGACAGGCTACTAACTTGTATGTGACATACACGTGATGTCCTGACAATGACAGGCTACAACTTGTATGTGACATACACGTGATGTCCTGACATGACAGGCTACTACTTGTATGTGACATACACGTGATGTCCTGACAATGACAGGCTACTAACTTGTATGTGACATACACGTGATGTCCTGACAATGACAGGCTACTAACTTGTATGTGACATACACGTGATGTCCTGACAATGACAGGCTACAACTTGTATGTGAACATTGTATGTACAACTTGTATACACGTGATGTCCTGACAATGACAGGCTACTAACGTTGTATGTGACATACACGTGATGTCCTGACAAATGACAGGCTACAACTTGTATGTGACATACACGTGATGTCCTGACAATGACAGGCTACTACTAACTTGTGATGTGACAATGACATACACTTGATGTCCTGATGTCCACAATGACAGGCAACTAACTTGTATGTGACATACACGCGATGTCCTGACAATGACAGGCTACTAACTTGTATGTGACATACACGTGATGTCCTGACAATGACAGGCTACTAACTTGTATGTGACATACACGTGATGTCCTGACAATGACAGGCTACTAACTTGTATGTGACATACACGTGATGTCCTGACAATGACAGGCTACAACTTGTATGTGACATACACGTGATGTCCTGACAATGACAGGCTACAACTTGTATGTGACATACACGTGATTTCCAGACAATGACAGGCTACAACTTGTATGTGACATACAAGTGATGTCCTGACAAAGACAGGCTACTAACTTGTATGTGACATACACGTGATGTCCTGACAATGACAGGCTACTAACTTGTATGTGACATACACGCGATGTCCTGACAATGACAGGCTACAACTTGTATGTGACATACACGCGATGTCCAGACAATGACAGGCTACAACTTGTATGTGACATACACGTGATGTCCTGACAATGACAGGCTACTAACTTGTATGTGACATACACGTGATGTCCTGACAATGACAGGCAACTAACTTGTATGTGACATACACGCGATGTCCTGACAATGACAGGCTACTAACTTGTATGTGACATACACGTGATGTCCTGACAATGACAGGCTACTAACTTGTATGTGACATACACGTGATGTCCTGAAAATGACAGGCTACAACTTGTATGTGACATACACGCGATGTCCAGACAATGACAGGCTACAACTTGTATGTGACATACACGTGATGTCCTGACAATGACAGGCTACTAACTTGTATGTGACATGCACGTGATGTCCTGACAATGACAGGCTACAACTTGTATGTGGCATACACGTGATGTCCTGACAATGACAGGCTACAACTTGTATGTGACATACATGTGATGTCCTGAAAATGACAGGCTACTAACTTGTATGTGACATACACGTGATGTCCTGACAAAGACAGGCTACAACTTGTATGTGACATACACGTGATGTCCTGACAATGACAGGCTACTAACTTGTATGTGACATACACGTGATGTCCTGACAATGACAGGCAACTAACTTGTATGTGACATACACGCGATGTCCTGACAATGACAGGCTACTAACTTGTATGTGACATACACGTGATGTCCTGACAATGACAGGCTACTAACTTGTATGTGACATACACGTGATGTCCTGACAATGACAGGCTACTAACTTGTATGTGACATACACGTGATGTCCTGACAATGACAGGCTACTAACTTGTATGGGACATACACGTGAGGTCCTGACAATGACAGGCTACTAACTTGTATGTGGCATACACGTGATGTCCTGACAATGACAGGCTACTAACTTCTATGGGACATACACGTGATGTCCTGACAATGACAGGCTACTAACTTGTATGTGGCATACACGCGATGTCCTGACAATGACAGGCTACTAACTTGTATGTGACATACACGTGATGTCCTGACAATGACAGGCTACTAACTTGTATGTGACATACACGTGATGTCCTGACAATGACAGGCTACTAACTTGTATGTGGCATACACGCGATGTCCAGACAATGACAGGCTACTAACTTGTATGTGACATGACAGGCTACTAACTTGTATGTGACATACACGTGATGTCCTGACAATGACAGGCTACTAACTTGTATGTGACATACACGTGATGTCCTGACAATGACAGGCTACTAACTTGTATGTGGCATACACGCGATGTCCAGACAATGACAGGCTACTAACTTGTATGTGGCATACACGCGATGTCCTGACAATGACAGGCTACTAACTTGTATGTGGCATACACGCGACGTCCTGACAATGACAGGCTACTAACTTGTATGTGACATACATGCAATGTCCTGACAACGACAGGCTGCTAACTTGTATGTGACATACACGTGATGTCCTGACAATGACAGGCTGCTAACTTGTATGTGACATACACGCGATGTCCTGACAATGACAGGCTACTAACTTGTACGTGACATACACGCGATGTCCTGACAATGACAGGCTACTAACTTGTATGTGACATACATGTGATGACCTGACAATGACAGGCTACTAACTTGTATGTGACATACACGTGATGTCCTGACAATGACAGGCTGCTAACTTGTATGTGACATACATGTGATGTCCTGATAATGACAGGCTACTTACTTGTATGTGACGTACCTGACAGAAAGAGCTGGAGGGCAGAGTAGCGACCAGCTTGCTGCCCAAACTGTTGAAGAAGATAGAGAAGAGACTGACGGAGAACCCTAGTGGATACTTAATTGGAGACAGTGTAAGTTTCCTGTTCCATGTGTTGTGTTGTACTGGCAGATACTGGTTGGGCTTTGATTGTTGTTTACACAACTGCTCGTACTTCCATACGTTCAGCACAGAAATGAAGCTGGGATCCGAGCGGAGAATAAAACAACATGGCCGTGGATGAGAAAGTAGATATGCAGAAGAAACTGAAAAACGATAATTCAAAATCGAAGAACATTGGATGGATAAGAATTGTGAATGACTGGTGAGGATTATCATTACAGCACTCCGGACAGATTCATAGGTGCTCTGATCTCCTTCTAAATCGCCTAAAAAATAATAAAACGATTGATGAAACCATTCAGTTTGTTAAGCAGGAGTAACTTTCAGTCAAGCTAGTGTTAAAGGAGATAACCCGTTTTTGTCAGTAAAGAGTCTTGATCAGACATTCCAGTGTGTGCGCCCTGCCCCCCCCCCTCCCAACAGTCCCCCCCCCCCATTTTTTTTGGTGTTTTTCTTTCTTGTTAGAGTCATAGTTCGGGGAATTAATGTCTCCGATGCGTTGATTAATCAACGTCTTATACCAAAATGGGTACGAGGTAGTGTCCTGCTAAGTAAAGGCAACAGGTGTTGTGTTGACTACATCGCCCACCGGCTGCCGCTTGGTCTATAAACTTTAGATTTAGTTCTTCCCGCCCAGTGCGCCTGAAGGAAAAGGGAGAAGGGGTAGAAAACAGTCGAAGTCGGAGTATGTCTGCCACAGGAGAAACCAACACTCTACACATGAATAAGAAAGATCTGTAAAAGTCGTCTTCTTCTTCTTCGTTCACCGGCTGCGAATTCCGGTGGAAGGTTTCGGTTAATCATCTGCTTGAACTTTTTGGGCTTTTACCTGGACCTGAGTTTTGCGTGTACAACCGTTTGACTGGCTTTTGCCGTTCCCTGCCTCACGGGCAGATAAACTCCGACTTCGAGGAAAGACGTATCTGTAAAAGTGATGTGCACATAGAACTAGTACTGGAACAAAACCAAAGTGCAGACTTGGACGAACAACCACAACTTTCCGCTGGCGTTTACAGTTCTAGAATATTCGGAAGCAGAAAAGGGACTGAACGCCCCAATAAGTTCCGCTCGTCGATGGTTCTCCACTCAGCTCCATACATAATAGTATTAATAGTTTCACACTCCGCTTTCTAACCACCAACCCCCCCCCCCCCCCCCCCCCCACTATTTCCACTAAACGCTCCTTACCACTGTCAAAATAAATACAACGCGTTCTGGTGCCAAATTTCCTGCAGTTGAAACTAACCGGGTATTTCAGACAAAGAGTGCCCACAACGCCTAAGGCACACACGCCGACACATCACACAGATGTATACTGGGAGCTGTTTTACTCGTGGATTTGCTGTACATATTCTTCTTCTTCTTCTTCTTTCGTTCTCTGGAAATAGATTCTCTGTACCCGCAATACTGTATCTAGTATGGACTTCACTGTCAGTTGTAATTCACTCAGCGACCCGTAAAGTTTTGCTCACACCGTACATGTGATACTTATGTTGACCAATACTTGTCTGCAGGTGACCATTGCTGACCTGGCCTTCTTGGACCTCCTGGACACGCCTTTGAAAAGCAGTCCCAAGTTGTTGGACACTTTCCAGAAGGTTCGAGAACACCGCAAGAAGATTAGCTCTCTGCCGAGACTAGCCAAGTACCTGTCTACTCGACCAGACACGCCAATCTAGGTCTAGATCTCTCACCCGCTTGTGTATCTGTATACTCGTCAAGTTGTCTCCGAGCTCACATAGCGACTCGACAACATATACAATAGTTATATGTGTATAGTCGCTTCTTCTTCTTCTGCCCTTGAAACAACTGTTGGCACGCTGTACTGTGGTTTACAACTAGGCTGTGATCCTTTCAGCGCATACAAATTCCGAATTAGACATCTTTTACGACATGCTTTGATGGTGGGGGGGGGGGGGGGGTGGGGGGAGGTCTATTCCCCCTCCCTTAAATGGGTCCTGGAACACACACGGAAAAATGTAGTCACTGACTGCTACCTACAAATGTAGTATTCATTGTCTGTCCATCTACGTGGCTAATGTGATGCTTTATCTCTTTTCTCACTTTCCCCGTCTTGCGCCTTGAGTGCAAATTATTTATTTATGTATTCTTCTTCTGCCTGTATTCCCCCTTGTTTTCATTTATATATTTTACATTGATATTCTGTAGATTTAAACAGTAGTCCTTCATTCACTGTTGTTTAGTTATATACGACGTATTCCTGTTGTGATAGGCTGGAAAACGACAATGACTACTGTTTAGCAGCTTGAAGATCTTGATTTAGTTAGTCTGGTTTTAAAATGACCAAGAGGCCACAGGACAGCTTTTAGTTTTAGACAGTAAAATAAGGAAAGGTCTGGCCACTGGGTATAAAAAAGCCAACCTACTCAGTGTTTGCCTCCTATTTGACTTCCGGATGCACCCTGTGGAGACCTACCCGGCTGTTGTAGCTCTGCACATAGGGCTCGCCAGCATGGGTGTGGCCGACTACAGGGGAAGGCCGGTTGTCAAGCTGATTTTGCAGGCGATGGTAAGTTTCGATATTTAGTCCTGAAATAGTAGTCTCTAGTAGTTATACTGTGGAATAATTAGGTGTGTATTTTTGCTAGGATGGCAGGTAGCTGTAAGCGATTTGTTGGTCTGGTTTCATATTGAAGCTTAACGTACATGTTAAATATTTTTCGGTTTTTGCCATCGTTGAGGTAATCTCTCTGGGCGTATGGTGTCATTAGCATTTTTCCTTGTTAGATGATAATCAGTACTTTAGATTCTGGTCGAGCACGTTGTGTTTAATGTTATTTGTAGACCACGCTGATTTTATCTTAAGTGAAATAAACAGATGTTCAATGTATTAATCATAGTTCCAGTTGTTTTTCGTTCAGATTAGGACTTGTATTCAGTGTGCTTAGTTTAGTATTTGTTGCTTTGCTGATCTAGACTTTACACAAAAAATTTCCTGTCCGGGTGAAATAAATTTGATCTTACCCCCGCCTAAACGAACTTTTTTTTTTAGTTACTGAGGCAGCTTAATGTTGAATTTTGGCTCCTACTCGCCACGTCACATTGTTAGAGCTCTTGTAGGTTCGGAGTCGAGGGGATTTTAAGGAGTAGATTTCCATATTATCCTTCATGGTTATCTTTTCTCCTCCTCCATTACAAGTTACCTCCATTACAAGTTCTGCTTTGCTTCTAGTACACTATATTTCCCTAGATTTAATTACCTAGCTTCACCCTGAATAGTTAATAAAAATGTTATTTTCTTATCTCCCGGGTTTTCTCTGTCTCCACAGCTGCCTTACGTTTCTTAAGTGCATCTGAGGCTCCCAACACGCCCTGGATCGCTCACATGTGACCGTGAAGCTACGGCACTAGCATCCCCAAAGGAGCGGTAGTGCCCACTTAGGGAAACAATCTTCTAGCTCGCACTGCTAAAAGAAAACAGTTACTGTCCAGACTTCAAGTCTGGAGGAAAAAAAGCAGCAAAATATAGTTTCTGTTAAACTCATTATTTCAGGAAGTAAAAAAAAAAAAAAAAAAAAACATCTAAATACATAGGCAAAAAACTTCAGTGAATGGTAACTTGTAGGGATTGTGGTAGTAGCAGGACCTAGAAACCAGCCAGAATTAAACCTGCACAATTAATGTGGCTACTGGTCACTGTTTGGAAGGAGTTCTTGTGACAGACTTCACATACAGACTGACAAACAGATTTTCTGTTATCATATAGATTTCTGAAACTTCAGTGGTTCATAGCCAAATTTACCAACCAATTTCAAGGCTTTTCAAGGTCTCTTTAGTTTTTTTCAAGGTCGTCACGGGGGTAATACTTAACATTCTTAGTGCACTCATGGTGTGCTATTTATACATATACAAATGCATGCATGAACATAACAGGAATATATTTAACATAAACACAAAAATAACGTTGAAAACTCACCACAATAATGTACGCTTGCTAATATTTCATATGTATTCTTGCCTTCATAGACACATGAGAGAAATGAAAGTTGAACTACACAAATAAATATAACCTCACATTAAATCACGAGCTGACTCACTTGAAATAAAATATTTACACATAGTCCATAATATACTTAATCACTGAATATACAATATTTACACACACCATCCATTGCTTTTAACTACTCCTGTCTCTGGATCTCTAACTGTTTTTCGACAATCTGTTTGTCAACAATTTTAATTAAATCTTCCTTGTCTCTAACTGTCTTCCGTAAACTGTTTGAAACAGAAATAAGGGAGATGTTGCGCTGTTGTTCAGCCTGCAAAGCATTTTCATCAGCAGCATCAGTGATGGTTTTAACATCCTTTTCTAAAGCAAGTTTCCTTCTTTTTAGGGTCTGCAGTTCACTTTCAAATAATTTTTGTTTATTGCTTTTTTTGTGTGTTGTTCAGTCTTCTCCTTCTGACTGTCTAAATACAACATATATCTACTGTGGGCACTGCTAGCACTGGTTAACATCTTTGGTGTTATCTCAATGTTGTCTACCCCACCCTGATTTCTTATATGATCAACTATTACTCTTCGTGATATTAGAGTTCTTTCAGCCATGTTATATTCTTCCATTTCTTTATTTACCGAAAAACCCCTTTCAACAGTTGCTTGTCCATGGGACAACATTAATAACATTTGAACAACACTCCAAACATTTTGAAACTCATTTCTGCCTGATAACAGGTCATGGTAAAATGAATCAAGTCTGTCTGTTTCCCTTGAAAAAGCAGACAGTGATCCATTGACTGCCGACTGCTCAATAAATGTAACAAATTCAAAAATAACAGCGTCACATTCAGTTGCATTAAATTTCCTTGATTTCACCAAGGTTTGTAAAATTCTTTTCAGCTTCTTTGCTGCATTGGCTTTGTCTTGAATAATTATGCTTGGATCAAGACAGGCCAAATCTTTCACTAATAAATACTGCAGTGGAGATTTGGCCAAAAATTTCTCCATAAATGCTACCATTATTAATTTACAATCATTCTTGAAATTCAGAATTTGAAGATCAGTTACTTTTCTCTCTCTCTTCAAATCCTTAATTACTGAATCTGCCACAAAACCAATATCTACTGCATGACCAGTGACATGATTCTGGGGGTCATTCACACTAAAATTCAAAATATCACTTGTACTGGAAAGATTAGCAATAATTTCCTTCTTTACAAATCGCCTTAAAACAGCAAAGGTAAGATTATGTAAATCTGTAAACAGGAAAGGAACCATTGGATTATCAGTCTGATACTTCCGAAGGAAAGGCTCAAGCTGCTTACTAAAAGAAACAAAAAATGCCAACTTAGAAGATAAAAACATGTCGTTGTTGACTGCTGTTCTAACAGTTTCAAAAGATTCTGTTTGTGGCTGTGTTATTTCCTTTTTTGCTGCAGAGTCACAGAACTTCTTAAAATGCGGCAATATGTCAAAAGCTCCCTGTGCTACTTTAGAATTTTCAAGCCATCTATGGGCACAAAACTTCAAAGGTGCTTGTGTACACTGAGACGTTTTGAAATAATCCTCACGCCTGGCTGGAGTGTCTTCAAGTAATCTATACATGGATTTAAGCACTTTCTCCAATCCCCAGCCTGCTGCAACCATGGCTGTTTTACAAGCATCATGAACTTTGTGTAACCCACAGCTGCCAACATTCAGTAACTCTGTGCCATAGTTTTCACCAAGTAACATTCACTTTGTCATGAAATGACCAGTTTACATTCGGCCCATCCATCGAAAGCTGTATCAAATAGGCCAAATTCAATGTGGACGTTGCATCTTCAAACGCAGATTGCATATCAACAGCTGTGGCATGGCCAAGAAATTTTGATGTCAAATAATTTGTTTTGATGACATCAGCATCCCAAAATCTGACATGGAAATCCATTTGTTTCAGCTGAAATGATTTGTTCATACTTTCATCAAACAGGAGGACAAAATTTCTCTTGAACAATTTAGCTTCCAGTAACGAAGTGAAATATGGGGCTAGACCAAATGAAACCAGGTAGGAACATTTTCTCTCAGACAAAGAAAATTTCTTTGCAATTGCACTGTCTGGAAACATTCTCTGGAAAATTGTATTAATGCCTGTGTTCGAAACAAAGCTGTGATGTCTATTGATTGAAAATAAAGTCCAAACAATCTCGGCTTTTAAAGAATCTTCCTTACACACCAAAGAAAGGATGTCTGGAGTGTGTTTGATGGTGGTGGTTGATGATGTTGATGCCACAGAGGATGACGGTAAAACATCATGAATTCAATGTGGACGTTGCATCTTCAAACGCAGATTGCATATCAACAGCTGTGGCATGGCCAAGAAATTTTGATGTCAAATAATTTGTTTTGATGACATCAGCATCCCAAAATCTGACATGGAAATCCATCTTTAGGACATACATGGCTGGACCTTTAGGACATACATGGCTGGACCTTTAGGACATACATGGCTGGACCTATAGGACATACATGGCTGGACCTTTAGGACATACATGGCTGGACCTTTAGGACATACATGGCTAGACCTTTAGGACATACATGGCTAGACCTATAGGACATACATGGCTAGACCTATAGGACATACATGGCTAGACCTATAGGACATACATGGCTAGACCTATAGGACATACATGGCTAGACCTATAGGACATACATGGCTAGACCTATAGGACATACATGGCTAGACCTATAGGACATACATGGCGAGACCTATAGGACATACATGGCTAGACCTATAGGACATACATGGCTAGACCTATAGGACATACATGGCTAGACCTATAGGACATACAAGGCTAGACCTATAGGACATACAAGGCTAGACCTATAGGACATACATGGCTAGACCTATAGGACATACATAGACCTATAGGACATACTAGACCTATAGGACATACATGGCTAGACCTATAGGACATACATGGCTAGACCTATAGGACATACATGGCTAGACCTATAGGACATACATGGCTAGACCTATAGGACATACATGGCTAGACCTATAGGACATACATGGCTAGACCTATAGGACATACATGGCTAGACCTATAGGACATACATGGCTAGACCTATAGGACATACAGGGGCTAGACTATAGGACATACAGGCTGGACCTATAGGACATACATGGCTAGACCTATAGGACATACATGGCTAGACCTATAGGACATACATGGCTAGACCTATAGGACATACATGGCTAGACCTATAGGACATACATGGCTAGACCTGGACATACATGGCTAGACCTATAGGACATACATGGCTAGACCTATAGGACATACATGGCTAGACCTATAGGACATACATGGCTAGACCTATAGGACATACATGGCTAGACCTAAAGGACATACATGGCTAGACCTATAGGACATACATGGCTAGACCTATAGGACATACATGGCTAGACCTATAGGACATACATGGCTAGACCTATAGGACATACATGGCTAGACCTATAGGACATACATGGCTAGACCTATAGGACATACATGGCTAGACCTATAGGACATACATGGCTAGACCTATAGGACATACATGGCTAGACCTATAGGACATACATGGCTAGACCTATAGGACATACATGGCTAGACCTATAGGACATACATGGCTAGACCTATAGGACATACATGGCTAGACCTATAGGACATACATGGCTAGACCTATAGGACATACATGGCTAGACCTATAGGACATACATGGCTAGACCTATAGGACATACATGGCTAGACCTATAGGACATACATGGCTAGACCTATAGGACATACATGGCTAGACCTATAGGACATACATGGCTGGACCTATAGGACATACATGGCTAGACCTATAGGACATACAGGGCTAGACCTATAGGACATACAGGGCTAGACCTATAGGATAGGACATACATGGCTAGACCTATAGGACATACATGGCTAGACCTATAGGACATACATGGCTAGACCTATAGGACACCTATATGGCTAGACCTATAGGACATACATGGCTAGACCTATAGGACATACATGGCTAGACCTATAGGACATACATGGCTAGACCTATAGGACATACATGGCTAGACCTTTAGGACATACATGGCTAGACCTATAGGACATACATGGCTAGACCTATAGGACATACATGGCTAGACCTATAGGACATACATGGCTAGACCTATAGGACATACATGGCTAGACCTATAGGACATACATGGCTAGACCTATAGGACATACATGGCTAGACCTATAGGACATACATGGCTAGACCTATAGGACATACCTGGCTAGACCTATAGGACATACATGGCTAGACCTATAGGACATACATGGCTAGACCTATAGGACATACATGGCTAGACCTATAGGACATACATGGCTAGACCTATAGGACATACATGGCTAGACCTATAGGACATACATGGCTAGACCTATAGGACATACATGGCTAGACCTATAGGACATGGCATGGCTAGGACCTACATAGGACATAGGACATGGCTAGACCTATAGGACATACATGGCTGGACCTATAGGACATACATGGCTGGACCTTAAGGACATACATGGCTAGACCTATAGGACATACATGGCTAGACCTTTAGGACATACATGGCTAGACCTATAGGACATACATGGCTAGACCTATAGGACATACATGGCTAGACCTATAGGACATACATGGCTAGACCTATAGGACATACATGGCTAGACCTTTAGGACATACATGGCTAGACCTATAGGACATACACCTAGACCTATAGGACATACATGGCTAGACCTATAGGACATACATGGCTAGACCTATAGGACATACATGGCTAGACCTTTAGGACATACATGGCTAGACCTATAGGACATACATGGCTAGACCTATAGGACATACATGGCTAGACCTTTAGGACATACATGGCTAGACCTATAGGACATACATGGCTAGACCTTTAGGCAGGGTTCATAGCCAAATTTACCAACCAATTTCAAGGCTTTTCAAGGTCTCTTTAGTTTTTTTCAAGGTCGTCACGGGGGTAATACTTAACATTCTTAGTGCACTCATGGTGTGCTATTTATACATATACAAATGCATGCATGAACATAACAGGAATATATTTAACATAAACACAAAAATAACGTTGAAAACTCACCACAATAATGTACGCTTGCTAATATTTCATATGCATTCTTGCCTTCATAGACACATGAGAGAAATGAAAGTTGAACTACACAAATAAATATAACCTCACATTAAATCACGAGCTGACTCACTTGAAATAAAATATTTACACATAGTCCATAATATACTTAATCACTGAATATACAATATTTACACACACCATCCATTGCTTTTAACTACTCCTGTCTCTGGATCTCTAACTGTTTTTCGACAATCTGTTTGTCAACAATTTTAATTAAATCTTCCTTGTCTCTAACTGTCTTCCGTAAACTGTTTGAAACAGAAATAAGGGAGATGTTGCGCTGTTGTTCAGCCTGCAAAGCATTTTCATCAGCAGCATCAGTGATGGTTTTAACATCCTTTTCTAAAGCAAGTTTCCTTCTTTTTAGGGTCTGCAGTTCACTTTCAAATAATTTTCGTTTACTGCTTTTTTTGTGTTGTTCAGTCTTCTCCTTCTGACTGTCTAAATACAACATATATCTACTGTGGGCACTGCTAGCACTGGTTAACATCTTTGGTGTTATCTCAATGTTGTCTACCCCACCCTGATTTCTTATATGATCAACTATTACTCTTCGTGATATTAGAGTTCTTTCAGCCATGTTATATTCTTCCATTTCTTTATTACCGAAAAAAACCCCTTTCAACAGTTGCTTGTCCATGGGACAACATTAATAACATTTGAACAACACTCCAAACATTTTGAAACTCATTTCTGCCTGATAACAGGTCATGGTAAAATGAATCAAGTCTGTCTGTTTCCCTTGAAAAAAGCAGACAGTGATCCATTGACTGCCGACTGCTCAATAAATGTAACAAATTCAGAAATAACAGCGTCACATTCAGTTGCATTAAATTTCCTTGATTTCACCAAGGTTTGTAAAATTCTTTTCAGCTTCTTTGCTGCATTGGCTTTGTCTTGAATAATTATGCTTGGATCAAGACAGGCCAAATCTTTCACTAATAAATACTGCAGTGGAGATTTGGCCAAAAATTTCTCCATAAATGCTACCATTATTAATTTACAATCATTCTTGAAATTCAGAATTTGAAGATCAGTTACTTTTCTCTCTCTCTTCAAATCCTTAATTACTGAATCTGCCACAAAACCAATATCTACTGCATGACCAGTGACATGATTCTGGGGGTCATTCACACTAAAATTCAAAATATCACTTGTACTGGAAAGATTAGCAATAATTTCCTTCTTTACAAATCGCCTTAAAACAGCAAAGGTAAGATTATGTAAATCTGTAAACAGGAAAGGAACCATTGGATTATCAGTCTGATACTTCCGAAGGAAAGGCTCAAGCTGCTTACTAAAAGAAACAAAAAATGCCAACTTAGAAGATAAAAACATGTCGTTGTTGACTGCTGTTCTAACAGTTTCAAAAGATTCTGTTTGTGGCTGTGTTATTTCCTTTTTTGCTGCAGAGTCACAGAACTTCTTAAAATGCGGCAATATGTCAAAAGCTCCCTGTGCTACTTTAGAATTTTCAAGCCATCTATGGGCACAAAACTTCAAAGGTGCTTGTGTACACTGAGAC